GTCATCCTCATACATTGGCCATAAACCATGGATGGTAAAATAGCCAAGGGTATCAGGTGAACACTTTAGACTGCCCTGGTTACATGCAGAAGGTGACCATCGGAGGCTGAGTACGTAGAAGCTGAACTCTATATTATCCCTTGATAACAATATGGCAACAAGTAAGATGATAGCAGCTACCAGATAAATCAACTGTAGAGACCGATTATCCATCTTTTCTTTTTCCTTTCTCTGGAACGACGAGGAAAGGTTTTTAGAACTGTATATTTTATAGAGAGCATGTAAAGGGTAGAGAGAATGGTAGTGTCGACTAGGTTAGGTTGATATATATATATATATACATATTCGAGTCATTTTTATAAGAAACTTGTTGTTAGTTTATGTAGGAAAAGTCTTTCTTTATTGTGTGATTAGTCAATTTATTATTATTTATTTTTTTGTTCTTCTATAAATTTGGTCCAATCATTCTTTAGTTTTCTTGTTTGGGAACTTGCTAGGTAACTTCGAGTCTTTGTTTATTGTGTAATTAGCCAATTTATTTATTATTTTTTCTTCCCTTCAATATTTCATAATAATGGTTTAAAGGTTGAAAACTTTTCAAATAATTTACTCACAAACTTGGCTTTATATTAGGTGGTGCAGACATTGAATAGGATACTTGATCTAAAAGTTATTACAATTTTTTCATTTTTATAACAAAATATGTTACTGAAAGTTGATACCTATTTATTTTATTATAAAAGATATGTTACTAAAATCAGCAAAAAGGGAAAGATACGTTACTGTGTTTTAATCCAAAAGTTGTTATGAAATAAATTACAAAGGTGAATTTATATTTTTACATAGATATATTAAAATAGATATTCAGTATATAAGAATGGAATATTTCGAGTTTAAGAATTATTAAAAAAAATGTTGAAAAGAACAAATGCAAAACAAATAAATCCTTTTGCTTGACAATTTTTATGAACATTACGTTTAAAAAAAAAATTTATTGAACATTGGATCACACTTTGATGATATTATTCAATGATCAATACAATGATTTGGCTTTTTTTTTAAAAAAAAATGTCAATATGCCCTCTTGTTGATATATATTGTTGATGGAACATATAAAGATCACAATTCAGGATTGGTCTTTGGATAAAGCCACTCTTGCAAGAGTTTTAGGTTCCAAATTTAAAAAGATGATATATTTTTATAACAATAATAATAATATAATTAATTATATTAAAAATATATAAAAATTAAAATAATTAGTAAAATATTTATTTACTCTGTCATATTTAATAAATATTTATTTTCTCTCAGTTTCACATACTTATTAATTTTGAATTAATTATCTCATTTTTATTAAAAATATGTAAAAGTAAAAGTAATTAATAAAATGACATATTTTTTCACTTTTTTAATTATATAAATATCAATTTTTTATCACTTCTCAATTATTTTTTTTAATTTATAATATCCACTCTTAAATTTTTCTTCCATCATTTGCTCTTTTTTTTTTTTTAATTTCATATTTTCTCCAAATAATACGTAAAAAATCTATTATATTATTATCTTCATAAAGCTGCGAGTTTCATTTATGATTTGTAATAAACATTTAACAATTAGGTATTATTATTTTAATCTATACAGACTTTTTATTTGTATTTAGAGTTTATATTATATTATTATATTATCTTTATTTTATGTGATAGTTAATTGATTTAAATTAGAAATTTTGATTTTTGATTTTATATTAACCATTTAAAAAATATAAAATGATTATAGTAGTTAAATATTTTTGATATTTCACAATAAATATTTGAATATATCAAATCAAAAATATAAATTTAATTATTCAAAACTTAAAAAAATTGTTTAATTTTAATAAAAAGATCTTATTTGAATATTTTATTTTAAACTTTTAAAATTATTGAGCCGTCACTATCACAATTATGAAATTGTATATACAAACAAATTTCATCCACTCAAAATCGAATAAAAAACCACAAGAAATAAATAAATAAATAAGAAGCCAATTCTTTCTCATTCCATAAATTTTATCTTGTTCATATCAAGATTTGAACTTAAAAATTTCAGGATGGAGTCTTAAAACTCTAGTCGTTGGGTTCTCATACATGAGGATGACATAGATAAGTAAATATATAGTAATTAATAAAGAGATGTACTTAAATAGATATAGCTAAGGAGA